ATCGGTTGTGAGCTGCATTGGCTCTTCAACATAGTACTTACTACTAACGTGTTTATTCATGCCATTTTCAGAGCCCTAGGACCCCAGGATTCGGGAGGTCCATAGCAATTTTTCTCAAATTATTAAGGCCTTACGTCTTCTCCTTCGGTATAACGGCAGCCAAGGATGAATTAAAAGTCATTGCTCAGTCGGAATTCCCTGCCACAATGGCCGAGCTCGACACGTACATTGGTTTAAAGTTGGCTCTCGTCAATATGTCTTGAACTCAACTGCTGTGTTGTGACAATGCTTTTCTGCCGAAGAACACGCTATCTAATTTATGAAATTACCACAAGGTACCCAGAATAATTAATGTAAATAATTTCAATCTGGTAGGCTAGTGATGATTATCGGATCGCCTTTACTGAGAATACAGATGGTCTCCCATGCTGCAGTACCTAACAAACAAGTAGCACACTAGGCGCATATCAGCATCGTATTCGCCTAAGAGTCCCCAGCAGTATGTAATATGGCCTTCCTTGTTATTGCTGCATGGTAAGCACACGTGATGGTGGTGCCTAATCTCCTGTCCAACCTTTAGTTCAAGACTATGCGCTACGACCCTCTCGAAGACAAGCAGATAACTTCTATTCCTCCTTTCAAGTCTAGTCATCGAAATTTCATCGGTCAGGGCTCCACCAGATTGTATCCATGCCTGCAAACAAGCCCTCCATTGATCTAACCGCCGAGATATCCAAACTCGCCAAAGCCTCTCGGGTGCAAAGTGGGCTCCCCGGCTCGATGCGAGCTCTACCCGCCATCGCGATATTTGCAGGGACGGCGTTGTCCAGGACTACGGGGACCTCCAATGTCGTTGAGAAATGGATGCTAGGGGATGAGGAAGTTCCTCTGCTTGGGAGTCCGACTGTGGGAAACTCTGAGAAGAAAGTCGATGGACAGTGCAGCCATCAAGGAGGCTCTAATCAGAGGACAAAGAATGGATTGTAGATGATCATCTTGGACAGAGAGCACACACTGGGCTACATTATCTCCATAACAGATTCGCACCACATACATCTACCTCGACGAAAACGGAGGAGATTAGCCGAAGGTCTGCGGCACCAACTTAGTCGTGTCTCTTCATATATGCATATCTACAAGGAGTTTACACTTGATGACGAAGCAAAGCGTGCTTTCAACTTTGTTCGAAGCGAGACCTACTAAAATCAATGCAGCGTACAACTGAATTCCTTGGTGCGATTACTTAGAAACTGCCTAGTTTGAAGCTATTCGCTACTACGTTGAAATTGCTCAGATCCGACCCCCGCAAAGATCTGCACCCCACTGCATGTCACCCCAAGGAACCCCAAGATGATCCAATCAACCCCACAAGGCTTCGGCATGGAACCCAGTTTAGAGATCTATATTAAAGGGGCCTGAACTACCCCAGAAAACAGATGTACCCCACAACATGGTGTCTGTCCCCAAAGAAGCCCGAGGTAAAGAAGTTTCAACCCCACAAGCCTTCCCATGAAGTGACTCCAGTCCGTATTACGAATGTACTTATGGAAGAAGAGATTGGATTCAAGATGAAGACAATGATACCCTGGGGTAACTTTCTTCAGAAAAATGCGGGGTGCTTGTGACATATCCCTGTCTATGGTCGATGCTACATTTCCCGGACATCTGCTCCATACGAACTGCCAACTATAAATGCATGGTCGTCCCTCTGTTGACCTTTACGAAGATATTGACTATTTCTATAATTCAAAGAATAAAGCATTCCCTCATTATCTGCAGGAACAATGCCAAACGTTGCCACTTTCCTAGGGCTGGCCATGTCCGGAGCAGCGATTGCATCCGCCGCAGCGCTGGGTGCATACAACGTAGACCCGAATTCAATTTCCGTCTCTGGGCTCTCCAGTGGAGGCTTCATGTCCGCGCAGCTTGGAGTCGCATACTCTGACACATTCAAGGTCGGGTTTGGGGTTTTTGCCGGGGGGCCATATGATTGCGCTCGCGGCCAGTCGGTAAGTCTCTTTCAACATCGAGAAATAATCACTTCAATTAAACGGATAACTGACACGAGACAGTATACTACATGCATGTACAATCAAAACCCATCCATCACAGCCCCCATCGCCAACATGAAGACCTGGAGCGGCAACAAGATCAACCCAGTCAGCAACCTCCAGAACCGCAAAATCTACATGTGGACCGGAACCGCCGACACCACGGTCGGTCCAAACGTAATGAGCCAGTTGAAGGCGCAGCTGGCGAACTTCGACGCGGCAGACAACGTCTCGTTCATCACGACCAGCGGCGCGGTGCACACCTTTCCCACCGACTTTGATGCGTCAGGCGACAACTCGTGCAGCTCGTCTGTTTCTCCTTATATCAGCAACTGCCAGTATGACGGGGCTGGAGCTGTCCTAAAGTGGATGTATGGGTCGTTAAATGCGAGAAATACGGGTACACTGTCGGGGTCGATTGTGTCGTTCAGCCAAACGGGCGAGTACGGCGCCAGTGGGATGGATACCACTGGATATCTGTATGTCCCCAAGGCATGCCAGTCTGGGTCTTCGACTGTTTGCAAGCTGCATGTGGCCTTGCATGGCTGTCTGCAGAGCTACAGCATGATTGGAAGCAAGTTCGTTTCTAATACCGGGTACAACATGTGGGCGGATACCAATAATATTATCATTCTCTACCCGCAAGCAGTTGCGGATAACACGATGCACACCATCTGGACTGGGATGCCGCTGTCTAATCCGAATGGTTGCTGGGACTGGGTTGGCTGGTATGGAGCAAATGCTGACCAGGTCGGAGGTGAGATCCCGAAAGAAACCTCGTGAGAGTCTGACTTGGTCGGGCCTGTTACTGACTTACTGGCTCCACTCAGGCGTGCAAATGGCTGCGATTGTGAACCAAGTCGCTCGGGTTGTCAGCGGTTACGGGGCCGGCAGTTCCTCAACGACCACTGCGAGCCCGACGACTACCACTGGCTCTAAAACAACAACTACTACTACAGTCACCACGACTGCTCTTGCACCATTGTATGGACAATGCGGTGGAATCGGGTGGACGGGGCCGACGGCTTGTGCCACCGGTGTTTGCACGGCCTATAGCCCTTATTATGCACAGTGTCTCTTGGTAGTGTAGGCATTCGGGCTTGACAGTGAAAGAAAGGGAGGTTATGCTATGTAGCCAAATTCGACTCGTGTTATGTTGAGAGCCTGTCTCCGCAATCTCTCGTCCCTCCGGTAACATTCAGTCACTCGTATTGAGGCCATTCCAGACCAAGTCGGCAATCTCGGCCAAATTATCGCGACTAAAGACCACGTCCCCCTCCCCTTTCTCCTCCTCAGCAGGCCGGAGGAACAGCTTCTCAAACCCTATGATCAGGGGAGCCCCAGTGATATGCACTGGGGCATCACCTCCCTCCCTGGTCATAGTCACCTTCTGAACAACCTCAGGCACCATCTTCCCCGGGTCGCCTCTTGTGGGCCGGCTGATCGCCTCCCACTTGTCAATGGTGATGGCCTCCCTTTTCTTCTGGACTGCAATGGTAATAACAGTCTTCAATTCTCCCCCAGAAGCGTTCAGCCACCACCGCGCATCGTTGGCCAGCTTGCTCTGACTCTCTGAGAACGCAGTCTCGATCACCATAGATGGCCAGTGACCGGAGTAATCGGCTGGGAACTCCACAGGCTTGTATGACTGGTCGGGCTTCTTAGTTCGTGTGGGAGTCACCACATCGGCCCCTATGAGTGATCGCAGCTGAGAGCGGACATTCATGGCCGCGAGTTTAATCATAAGTGTATTGTTGAGCTCGGCGTGCGCCTCTTCGTGAACTTCGCTGGCAGGCATTCTGGCAACAAGGGTACGAACCTGCGGAAAGAAATCGCTGTATGATTGGCGCTGAGACTCGTCGAAATCGCGTAGGAAGGTATATTCGTCAATATTGGAGAAGATCACGTAGTCGTGTTTGGATTCCGCTGCTTCTTTGCAGATGATGTGCCGGAAGTGTTGCATGCCCTGGTAGGGATATTCACTTGTCGTGGGACTAAGCCCAAGGCCATGGCGGCTGATGCTGTCTGTATTCGCTGCCATTTTCATAAACTGCATTTGCTTCTTTCTTGGAGGATGCTTGAACTATGAGAGGTTATGTAAGGTGACATATACAACTGTCGATAATATTAGAACCACTTGTATAAAAGGTGTCCAGATAACCATTCTAGGGCAGTAGAAATAGTAATGCAGCATGTTTAGCATACACTTTATTTGCTACCATCTGACCTGAATCCTAGATATTCTCCCAAGGATACAGTAGATTCAGAAAATAGATTTATTATCTTAATCCTTTTGATGACTTCACCATGATGCCATTTGGTTACAATCTCTATGAAACCCTTGCTGAACGACCTTCAGCAAATCACACTAGACTACAGAGACTTATATGTTAAATACGCAAGGCTAACTGAAGAAAAGTGCTTCGCATGCTATACCTTCAAGAAGAATATAGATGGTATATATACGATACTAAATGTTACACTCCTCCTGGAACCGCGCTTTGAACAATGAACATAATTAGCATATAAGGCATAAAGGCCCGCTCAGCATGACAGATAGGGTCCTTCCTTCCCTTCCAACGTGGGGCAGTGCGATACACAGTCGTACCCGGCGTCTATATCGCCCCAGATCCAAACCGAGGCTCCTCGGCCTGCGATGGGGGAGACAGCACTGCTGCTTCAATGTCTGACCGCCCGTGATCTGGTGAGGTGTGTTTTTGTTCAACGGACAAAGTTTGCGTTCGATTACTACTACATGATACTCCTCTCGCTGTGTCCAATACCCTGTGGCTAACGTCTCGGAGCCAGCGCATGAGAGGGCGGAGCGTGATTAGACTCCCAGCCATGATGCCGAGACCGGCCTCGATGTTGGACGAGATAGCGATACCAGTGGTGGCATCTGAAAACACAGTTATTTTCATGCTTGTCAGAGGGTTTCTTCGTGCGAGACTAACGAAGGAAGTCTGGATTTTGATAGTCCGGGAGATAGGGGATACGGGCCGCGACTGCAGCACCTGCTCTAGAGAGCAGTCAGTATAGGAGCGTTCTCTTCGGGCTGCGGACATACATGCATCCCATGCTGAGAATGACTCTTATCGCCCATTTGGTCCTCCGGCTGGTATGAAGGTGTCTTAGAAGATATACAGGGAAGAGTCCAAGGGTGAAGTCGCAAAGACATGCAGTCGCGCTATAGAGGTACGCAATGTCCAGTACATACTGGGTGTCAATGCAGTGGCCTCTGCCCGTTCGTTGCCAGAATTCTCGAACCGGATCGCACTGCAACGTCAGGATAAGCCAGAAGGCGAGGCCGACAGTGGCTGTGAGCCCAATTACGCTATACATGACGACTGATTCGCGCCGCTGGGCGGTAAGACGGAGAAGGAGCATTGCGATGGAGATTCTTGCAGTTGCCACGACCCAAACATAGGCGCTCTGGCCGAGCCACCACCACTGTTCATGCTATGTAAGTTACTGGGCAATAGCCAGCTTGGGGATACGCTAGGACGTACCAGAAGAGCCGTGTGAGCATCTTCTACAGAGTCGAACTGGTCAAATCTTTTCCCAATTCCGGCAACCGAGCCAGCCAGTCCGCATATTGCGAACCAGATGTTAAATAGCTGGGATCCTAGTATCAGTCGTGCTGTCTATTATCGAGCGTACCAGCTCACATACCATGGCCAACACCATCAAGCCATCATCCCATCCAAAGGCTTTCACTAGTCTCAGCCGGACGAAACACCGCAGAGCAACGGCAGTAAACGATAGACACAGGAACACCATGGTCACTGCGAATAGCGTCCTACTGCGACCTTGCAATGCCATTTGAATCAATCGACATCCATGCGAGTCAAGTGTCGTTGCATGGTATCCTATCAACTGGTTGCATCTACAGTGTTAGTGCGCGCCCCCGGATGGAGTTGTAACCCGCCGATGAAGCTTCGGGACGTGGAAATGGGTGGCGGCGGCGAATTCCTTGGATGCTGCTATAAGCCCCGTTCCATGGATCTAGCAATATCAGACCGAATAACAGTTGAAGAAAATAGTTTACGCCTAATGCTGGGACATGGAGTGAAATATTGTATATACTACTTACAACACTACAAATAGTCTTGTATCTTGTCTTTACTTATTCGAGGCTCCAGAAGTTCAAAGCTTCAAAGATATATTTGCAAGATTTGATATCATACTGTTCTCCAATGTAGAGCAACTACAGTTTAACTCAATGCTAAGCATATCTGTAGCATTTAACATTATAAAACTATTATAAGAATATGGTTGCCCCAACGCACCCCATGGGATAGACAGGTGGATCATTGTAAATCATCTAGTGCCTCGCATCTCTCAGTGCAGGGCGACACTAGCTCGACATCATTCAGCTTCATCCCTTGTATTACACCGCAGATATTCATCTCATTTAGTCTTTAGTTTGGATGGAGGATGTGGAAGAAATCATTTCCTTCTTCTCTTTTCCCGCATCTGACCAACGCCAGGTTTGCTATTTTCTTTCGAATCGACCTTGTTCTACATCCAAGAGGACCAAGACGGTCCTTGCATCTAGCGACTCGGGAGAACGAGCCTGCAATCAACAAAACCAGTCTGTTCCATCTTCCATTCCCACATGATAAATTCTAATAAATGCCAGATTTGAAATCAGTCACCCGAGATGATCTATTCAACTACACTTCCGGCCGATGGCTAATCAACGAGGTAGCCCAATTCCAACAACGTTTCGTCAAGTTCAATTTCGAGAACCTCTGTCATCAAGCTTCCTCGCTCTTCAGCGATGCTACAAAATGCATGCGCATTGTCAAGCTGGAAGGAAACTTCAACAAAGCGTTCCTGCTCACGATGGACGACGGCAACGAGGTTATCGTCAAGATCCCCTGCCCAAATGCGGGGCCGCCATCCCTGACGATGGAGTCTAGGTGGCGACGATGAGGTTTTGTATGCTTCCATGTTGCTTGATGCTTTGTCATGCGTAAACTTACATGCTGTTAGTGCGATTGTATACATCAATCCGGGTTCCGGAAGTGTTAGCTTGGAGTTCAGACGCAACAAAGCCTGTAGGCGCAGCTCTGCACTGATAACACGGTTGGTTCCCCATGGAACGATGGGAGGAGACGAACAAGATGAATCAATATCTCTTCGATATGTATCTTGGGACGATGAGTGAGGAGTGATCACCGGATGCAGCTGCAAAGACGTGGCCATTTCCGCCAAGATTGCATTGATTCTTGTCTAGTTCCACGGTCTACGCGAGGTCCTCAGACTCAGAGAGTACCCTCCACTTCCTCCTAAACCACGGCGCAATAGTCCAAGCGCGCATATCCCACGGCTGCATACCTCCGACAGACTCAGACGAGCATACGATCCCTCCTCTCTCGACAATATCTCGCTTAAACTCGACCGCATCGAGAAGTGATGGTGCGGTAGCAGCAAAGGTAATCGCTTTTGCTCTCAGCGCCGGCAGCGGAAGGAGATCAAAAAGCGGATGATGCGGGAAGAGGATCTGGGGGAGAGTCGGGCGGAGATGAACCGGGATAGCTGGGCGAGTAACTGTAGCTGCAGCTAGGAGTGATGACGGATCGGCCGACATGGGGGTGTACGGCCGGTAGAAAGGCGAGCACAGTGACATGCAGTTGTAGCTGGAGAACTGGTCGACGCTGATGCCTAGGGCTGCGGCATTGTAGACGCAGGCTGTGAGGAGGAGGGTGTACGTGGTGAATAGGGGTGGTGGAATTTCATCTCTGGCGGTCTCTTCCGTATTGCTTTTGCTAGACGGATTACATGGAAGAAAGAAATGATCTACCGTAAGCATTGCCGGCAAGGTCTTTCTAGCTATGTGCAGACTTTTCGTCGGAGTATCATCCGGGATAGGCGCAGGCGCAGGTCTCAGATCTCTTGAACCAGCCTGCGCTTGCTTTTCGGCCAAAAACTCTCTCCGTCGTTGCCCTGTTCATGTCAGCACTGCACAGCACCCATGGACGAGTGACCCACGATAAGCCCTCTGCGCGCGCCGATTCTGGTCCCGTCGGGCCGGGGTGATGATCCTCTTGGACTTGGACTTTGCGTCTACTTTTCGGGTCTCCATTTTGATATTGTCATCTATTCCATTCCCTGTATACTCAGAAGTCGGATGGAAGATGTAGTGTGATGGTGGGGGGCGAGGTGCGGGAGGATAATCCACCGATGGCTTACGCAAATCAACCAATCGGAGTACAGTATTAGATACCCGAATAGCATCATTCTCTCCGCGTAACTGTAAGCCATAAGCCATCAGATAATCCAGCAGATAAGCCAGCAGATAAGCCAGCAGATAAGCCAGCAGAATAAGCCAGCAGATAAGCCAGCAGAATAAGCCAGCAGAATAAGCCAGCAGAATAAGCCAGCAGAATAAGCCAGCAGAATAAGCC